GGTTTGGGGTTTACGGTTTAGGGTTTAGTTTTTAGGGTTTAGGGTTTGAGAATTGATTGGAGTGTCTAGGCGTATTGAAGTGGGGTGTCTGCAGCAGCAGGTGCAACAGCAGCAGCAGCAACAGCAGCAGCAGCAGCAACAGCAGCAGCAAAAATTGTGTTGCGTCTGTTTGTTGCTGCAGTATAAAGGACGGAATAACTGCATGCATAGCAGCAGCAGCAGCAGCAGGTTGTCCCTTTGTAGCCTTTACGTTCTTCTCTGCTGCTGCTGCATTTGTTGCTGCTGCTGCTACATTTTTGTGTATGTGTGCTGCGCTGCTGCTGCTGCTGCTGCCGCCAGCAGCAGCAGCAGCAGGCGAATCCATAGAGAATACAGCAGCAAATGCAGCACGCTTATCAGTAGTAAGACGGTGGCAGCAGCAGCAGCAGCTGCTGCTGCAGCGGATACGTAGCTGTTGCTGCTGGTGCTGCTGCAGCAAACAGCGGCAGCAGCAACAGCAGCAGCAGCAGCAGCAGCAGCAGCCAGCAGACGTGTATATGTCTCTTCCTTGCGAAGGAGAATCGTCTCCTTGCAGCAGCAGACACAAAAAGAGACACCAGGAGAGCACCTGCAGCAGCAGCTGCGGCAGCGGCAGCAGCAGCAGCAGCAGCAGCAGGTACACCAGCGGGCCAGATAGACAGCAAGAGATGCAGCAGCAGCTGCTGCAACAGGAGCAGCAGGAGCTGCAGCAGCAGCAGCAGCAGCAGGAAGCCAATTATGCTGCCTCTAATCAGGTCTCTCTCTTGATTTCTCCTTACGGAAACAGCAGCAGCAGCAGCAGCAGCAGCAGGAGCTGCAGCAGGAGCCGCAGCAGCAGCAGAGCAGCAGCAAAAGCAGCAGCAAAAGCAGCAGCAAGAGCAGCAGCAGATGCATTAAACTGCAACAGCAACGCTGTTCCTTTCCTTGCTGTTGTTGTCTCCTTGCTGCTGCTGCAGGTACACCTAAACCCTAAACCCTAAACCCTAAACCCTAGATATCATCCTCAAGCCTACTCTAAACCCTAAACCCTACCCAAACCCTAAACCCTAAACCCTAATGCAGTTTTTCTGTTAGCTAAATACTACGCTGCTATAAAAGGAGAAAGAAAGGCGTGTAGGGTTTAGGGTTTAGGGTTTAGGGTTTTCGCTGCTGCTGCTGTATTCAGGTGTATATACTGCAGCAGCAGCTGTCGCAGCCAGTAGCAGGTGATGCTGCGCTGCTGCTGCTGCAGGCAGCATCAGGACCAAGAGATACAGCAGCAACAGAGACATACACGTTAGTTCTATTCCTGCTGCTGCTGCTGCTGCTGCTGTTGCTCTGCTGCTTGTCTCCTTCCTGTCTCCTTTGCGTCTCCATTCTATCCATTTGCTGCTGTACTGCTGCACATTTCCTGCTGCTGTGTTGCTCATTTGCTGCTGCTGTGCTGCTGCTGTGCTGCTGCTGTGCTGCTGCCCGCAGGGTTCGCTTGGGTGGTGCTGCTTGGGGTCTGCTGCTGCTGCTGCCGCTGCTGCTGCTGTCGCGCTTCTTGCTGCAGCAGCTGCTGGAGCAGCAAATGCATCTCTGCTGCTTCGCTAAGAAATTAGACAATTCGCAGCAGCAGCAGCAGCAGCAACAGCAGCAGCAGCAGCAGCCACTAAAGCGTCTCTCGTCCCTTCCCTAAGGAGCCCACCACACACTGCAGCAGCAACAGCAGCAGCAGCAACAGCTGCTGCTGCTGATGATGATTCTCCTGCTCCTTCACCTTTTGCATAGTAGACATTGTGCTGCAGCAGCAGCAGCAGCAGCAGCAGCAGCAGCAGCAGCGTTCAGCAACACGAGCTGCTAGAGCAGCAAAAATGTATACAATGACAAGAATAATGCTGCTGCTGCCTGTAGCAGCAGCAGCAGCAACAGCAGCAGCAGCAAAGAGCTGCTGCAGCATAAGACGCAGCGAAATCAGAAACAAATAATAAGCAGCTGGAGCAGCAGCAGCAGCAGCAACTGCTGCTGCTGCTGCTGCTGCTGCAGCTGGTAATATTTAGGGACATATATACCTTAATATTGTGGTGATACACGAAAGCAGCAGCAGCAGAAGCAGCAGCAGCAGGTGTACTCGCACAACTAGCAGCAGCATATGCTGCAGCAGGTGTTGCTAGTGCAACAGCAGCAGGAACAGGAGCAGCTGGTGACAGCTGCTGCTGCAGCTGCTGCAGCAGCAGCAGCATAGTAATGTATAGAGGCAGCAATACCAAAAGCACAGCAGCATCTCAGTATGCGTAGCAGCAGCAGCAGCAGCAATACCTACCATAACCATACAGACAGCAGCAGCAGCAGCATCAGCAGCTAAACAGCAGCAGCAGCAGCAGCAGCAGCAGGAAGAGAGCGGAGAAATTTCTTAAGAAGCCAAAGGCGAATAAAATGCTGCTGTTTGTCTCTTAGTCTTTCATACATATATACGCCTCCCTCTGCTGCTGCTGCTGCTGCTGCTGCTGCTGTTGCTGCAGCAGCAGCATGAGCAGGAGCTCGAGAAGCAGCAGCAGCAGCACGGGCAAAGAAGCTGCAGAAGCAACACGTCTATTCACTTGCTGCAGCTTCTGCTGCTGCTGCTGCACCGACCCACGCTGCAGCCCTAAACCCTTGGGGGCCCCCCTAAGCCCTAAACACTTACAGAGGGTATAGGGGGCCCCCTAAACCCTTTGGGGCCCCCCAAAGTTCATGGGAGAGCCGAGGGGGCCCCCCTGTACACTTTAGGGGCCCCCTCACAAAGAGAGAGACACTTAACAAGATGTGCTGCTCCTGTATATTTTTTTTTTTTAGGGTTTAGGGTTTAGGGTTTAGGGTTTACAGGAGGAGACAAACATACAGCCAAAGGGACGGCAAAAACAACAAAAAAGAAAAAAGAAAGAAACTAAACATGACAATAAACATAAAATATATATACACACATACATACAACACATGCATGCATGCATGCATGCATGCATGCATGTTTAGGTGCATGCGTACGTGCATGCATGCATTGTGTATGTGTGTAATCCAAAGCCCCAGAACGCCCCATATGCTGCATGCACGCATGCGTGCATGCATGCAAGCATGCATGGAGTGTTTATGCACGCAAGAATGCATGCACGCAAGAATGCATGCATGCATGCATGCATGCATGCATTTGAATGTTGGGGCTTTCTTTTTTTTTTTGTTTGCATGCATTTAATTATATTTTTATATTTTTATTCAATAAACAAACAACGGAGAAGTAAAAAGATAATAAACTGCCATTGCCACCATTTCTCCTCTCCCTGCTGCTGCTGCTGCTGTTGCTGCTGCTGTTGCTGCCGCTGCGGACTTTGCTGCTGCTGCTGCTGCTGCTGCTTATTACTTTATTGTCTCTTTATCGCTGCCAGCCCCATGTGGGGATATAAGCACAAACAAACAAAGAAAAGCAGCATAAGAAGAGACAGGTAATTCTGCTGCTGCAGTGCAGCAACAGCAGCAGCAGCAGCAGCAGCAGCTACTTCTCCCCCCAACCTTGCTGCTGCTGCTTCTGCTGCTGCTGCTGCTGCAGGGATGTGTAGGTTATATACTTAGGAGGGGACTTTAGGTTGACCATCAACAACAGGATAAGAACCTGCCAGCAGCAAACCACACTGACCCTGCAGCAGCAGCAGCAGCAGCAACAGCAGCAGCAGCAGCAGCACAATACACAAAATAAACAAAATAAATAAAGTAAACATAATACATACATAAAAATGGATATACATATATATATCTATAATAAATAAAATAAATAATATATGAATATACTTTCTCTCTATATAAATATTTTAGGGTTTAGGGTTTAGGGTTTAGGGTTTAGGGTTTATGAGTATACCTCTGGTCCTGCATGCATAGCCATCCTAATATATCCATCTTCTCCCCAATCTTTTCCCCAACTATTCTTAACAATAAAATAGTCCTTATTACCCCTATCCCCTCCCCCTTCTCCCCCTTCTCCCCCTTCTCCTCCTGCTGCTGCTGCTGCATTTGCTGCTGGATACTGTGTCTCCTCTCTATGGTACCCAACAACAAGAACAGCATGATTCAAGGATACACCGCAAGGAGCAGCAAATACACCGCGCTTATAGAAGACAAAAGGGGCCTCATCTGCTTGTATAGCAACAGAGACAGGAGAGAGAAAGGAGACAGTATATAAAAGTGATAAAGTATCTCCTTTAGGTATATCTATATATCCATGTATATATTTTTTGGGGCTGCATGCAGAGGCAAGACATGCTCTCCCCTCCTGTCCCTTATAAGGGTAAGCCTCCTCCTTGCATAGTCCCTTATCTATAACATAATTAAATGCTTCCTCTATCTCTCCTCCATTACATCCTTCATTACCATAAGAATAAGAACAATCTATTAGCATTTGTTCGCTTAATGCTTCTGCCTTTATTTCTCTTGCTGCTGCTGCTGTTGTTGTTGCTGCTGCTGCTGCTGCTGTTGTTGCTGCTGTTGCTCCTCCTCTCTCTCCTCTATCTAACAAGGGGTTACTCGGGGGGGTTGCTGTCTGTAATAATTGTCTCTTTATTCTTCCTCCTCCTCCTGCTGCTGTTGCTGCACCTGCTGCTGCTGCTGCTGCTCCTGCTGCTGCTGTTGGTGTTTGTCCTGCAGCTGAATTGTCTCCTCCTGCTGCTGTTGCAGTATTATTACCATCTGCAGAATCAGCAGCAGCTGCTGCAGCTGCTGCAGCTGCTGCTGCTGCTGCTGCTGCTGCTTCTGCCTGTGCTGCAGCACATACAGCCCCCTCTATTGCTCCTGTAGCAGAGAATGCCCAACAAGAACCGCAATTAAGTTGATCTTTTATTGGTGTTATACATCCCCTCTGTCTCCAATCAAAGGAGACAGGTACAGAAGAAAAGGAGACACCTATAGGGGACCTCATTACCTGTATACATATATACATATATATATATAAATAAATAAATATATAAATATATATATATATATATATAAATATATATAAA